ATTGTGGGTTTGTTTTTACAGAATAGTGTAGGATTTAAGAGAATGAGTAGGATTGGTAGAGCTTTCTTATGAATGTCCAAGCTAACCTCGGCAATGTTTTGATTTCAGCCTTTTGCGTGCTGAATGGAAATCTGTGGGATTTAACACACGTTCTTTAGTGAATCTCAAGTGCAAAGTAACCTATATGGTGGTAACTTCACACTTCTAATCATACTTACACTCCCCTTAGAAAACTCTGTTATAAAAAGAAGAGAATTAATTACATGCTCCTTTTTAGTTCTTTTGAAAACTTCAAATTAGCTAGTTTGGGAAGTACATGCTGTATTATTATACTGATTGTTCTTGTTGATCAAGTCTCACTTCTGCCAGACAATTCTAGTTTCTAATTTAGAAGCAATTCAAATTTTGTCAATTCGAGCGAAGTAACTCTAAACAATATTTTTATAAACTAATTTTTAAGGCTATTAACCACTGTGCTGTGCAGAGCGCCTGAAGGCGATCTGAGAGTTGTGCTTTTTCTTAATTAGGGTATATTTTAACATTTTTTTAATGTTTTCATCACATTTTGTGTTTTGAAATGAAAATGTTTGAGTTAGGAAACATTTTGACATTAACTTTACCTGAACATTTATAAAAAAAAAAATACATTCTTGACAATTGCACTATGAAGTTTTTGCCGAAACCAGGTGTGCAGTGCGGTGGTTAAACAGGTTTACAGTATTTCCAAGCACTCATTTAACCTAGTCCTTTGTATTAACCATACTTGATTCTAACAGTAATAAGGATGAGTTCCCCCTCCAAGGTAAAGTCTCATTTAGAATACTAAATGAGACAACCTAAAGCTAAATACTTTAGCTTTAGGTTACACGTTTGGTTAAATGCATAGACTCGGATGGACTCGACATTTTCATACTGTACTATTTCTGGTACTTGTATGTAGCAAGAATAGGAGAAACAAGCTCATACCCTTACAACTAATACCCAGCCAAACTGTAAGAGTTACATATCTTTCTATCTCTCCCTTGTTTTGTAAGAGTGGCAACAGAGTTCGTACTCTGACGGATTCATAAATAATTGGAAACGTTTACTCAATACACGCTAATGTTAGCAAGTCCATACAAAATAACGTCTTGAAATATTCAGATTAGTAACCAAACAAAAGGAGAAAGGAACCATGAGTTAATTAAAAACCTGATTAGAGGAATACAGGTGAATTGAAGTGACATGGGTTACAGGGCAAGATCAGAGTAGGTGAAAATAACAGCAATAGAAAACAGTAACCTATACAAGTGAAGTGTGTATGCAGGTTGAGGTAAAGTGATAGAAGTCTTGGAAAGAAGTGCCAACAAGGAGGAGTGTGCATCCTGAACAAACTACAGTTGCATTTGTCAACTAAACTTCGGTGACTACACATTTGGAGCGTCAGCCTCCCCATGTACCCCAGTAATTCCCTCAGGATCTCTGTACTACGTTGAACAGATAAAATATAATATAGCTACATTATGCCACTCATGTGTATCCTGAACTTCCCTACAGTGAGCTTGAGTGAAAGCAAAACCGGCAAAAATATTGAGACCGCATCCAGGAATGTGGGTTCAATCCCATTATATACTCAATTTTTTCTCATAGATCCTCTAATCTCTCTCTGCATTAACTGGGTATAATGAAAGATTGTGAATAATTTATAAGTTGGCTAACCACAGCATTCAAAATACAAATATACTGTAATTATAAACCCCATTAGCATTATTACCTTTATTTAAACAAAATCCAAGCCCTATATCCTTGAAATGAGTGAGCTAAGAAAACTTAAAGAGGGAAGATAGTATTCTACAAGGTTTAGTAATGCTACTGCAGGGTTTGTGTATCTTTGGAATCAACTTTTAAATATTCCCAATGCAGTTCTCATCGGTTGTCTTAAAATATTTACAGCTCATTTTTTCCATTGTAAAATCAATGCTTACCAAAAGGAACATGTAAACTTCAGTGTTCAACTTCAAAGCTGTATGTAAATATAACTTGCAAAAGCAAATGAAAAACAGTGTCTATCAGAAGCCATCTTTGAAAACCCGTCAAAGCTCATGTAAACAATAGAACATTTGTTTCCAACATTTTACTTACACACGCACACACACTGATGCACCAAATGTACAAAACAGCAGAGTTTAGCACAGCAGTTTCATGTGTAGCAATGCATACAGGGAAGGAGGTCACTCATGAAGCAATGTCACTCTCATAAAGCCCTCCACAGTCACAGTCACCTGACAACCCTGCACCAAAATAGTTGTGATGTGCGACACGGATGGGTAGAGTTTGTTGAGGGTAGCAGCTGCAAGACGCATGGCACCCCAGAAGTGGCATTCGCTGACCTCCTTCAGCAACCTCTCCAGCCGCACCACCACTAAAACCTCATTCCAATTAATATAGGTTCTAATTAGCACCAAATATAATTTTAAATATCAAATTATTTAACCACTCTCCTCAAAACAGATCATTATTTAATTGATTTACTGCTTTCAAGAATAAATTTTATAACCAATTTATAAGTTGAAGATATTTGTATTCCGATTGGTAATTGAAAAATTTAAAAACCATCTGAAAAAACTACGGTGAAAGTAATTATTGAGGGAAAACCGTTGTCATATTTTGATTGAATGTGAGGCGATCTAGAAAAGTATGAACAAATCCACAAGGGCCGTGACGAGGATTCGAACCTGTGTCCGGGAGCGTCCCAGACACTCCTTAATCGACTGAGCTACGACAGGGTAAAGAGAGTTGAAACCGAAGTTCTACTGAACTTACTGGATCCCATAGTTTCTCTGAGGCACAAACCAGGATTTTACACAACTTCCCCCTGCACCCGAGCTATGTCAATAGGCCGTTCTTCCTCTTCGCCCTTACATCATTACACATTTGATGCATCACGTTAGTGTGATCTCTGTGTGTCTAGAAAAGTATCTCAGGGTCAGAATATCTTTGAATACAGAAGGTGTTGTAGGAAATACCACATATTCTACCAATCTTGCTGCATTCGAGTGTTTCCTTACAATTCTGTATCTCTCTTTTTCCAACTCCCACGTTCTCTTGTCCTTGTACTCACTAAATGACATGTAAGAGAACAGCTTTACTGAAAGGAATAGGCAAAGGTGCTGACCAGTGGAAAAAGCATGCACAAGACCAGGATTCAGGAAAAGCAGCAGCAGTGGCACACTACCTAAACACCTCAAAAGCATGGCAAGGACATGGGACAACCAACCAGGAATAAGCAAATTGCCAACACCCAAAGCCAGAAGGAGGGTAGGAAACAAAATGGCCAGCAAGTGGGTCCCAGAAGGAAAGAAGAAAAACACCACAATCAAAAGTGTTAAAACACACCAGCCAAACAAGGCCGACATAGGCCACAGCCAGTGGACACTTCTGTCCAACCAGCAGATTGAGACAAATTGGACAAGGACCAGCCAAGAGCTTAGCAGAAAAGACCATACCAGAGAAACAAAAATTCTACTGTATTCATTCCAAGTTGCAGAGAGTAAAATCCCCCACAAAAGACCCCCACCACTACCACACATGCATCACACGAATATGCGAGTGAAGGTGTTTGTTGACAACAACCCTCTGTGATGCGGAGCTAACACCAGGTGGCTATCAGGTAAGCTGGAGAGAGGGGGTTGTTTACACTGCCAACTATCATCTGCCTTGTTTTCTAAAGTTTTTAGCTGGTACTTGGCAGTTTTCTCATTTCTTTGTTGATATCTGATCCCCAGGCTCCTCTCACTCTGATGAGCAAACCTAATTCTGGTCCTGATTTGGGTAGCCCTGTGCATGTCCAAGGCCCTGGTAACATGCGAGAGATACCAGAGCCTACCCATGCGGTTACCTTGCTATGATTTCGGGGCTCAGTGTTCCCGCAGCCTGGTCCTCGACCAACCTAGGAAGAGACTGAAATGCCAGCCGTAAAGTATTTTTATTTTATTTACTATTTAAATCAAAACTAATGATTTTTTATAGTAAATATAAAAAGAAACGCTTTTCTTAAAAATGCAATGCAAATTGGGAACAAATGTAAATCCCACCCATCCAAATAAAATACCCCCTTCCCAAAATTTTTGTTTATGATTAATGTTCTTGATTGTAATTCTAATGATATTCTGTGTTGGCAACATGCATATGACATGGTTCTGTATCGAGTTATTTGGACTATATTTTGTATTAGAAAATACAGACAAAATATGCGTTATTTTCACCATTACCACTTCACAATTATGATTGTTATTATTAATTATTATTTTTTGTGGTATCACTGGAACTTGTAGAGTGTCTTACTATAGATTTAAACTTTTTTTATTTATTTATTTTTTATTTAGCCCCATAATGACAAGAAATTTATGAGGGTCAAAATGGAAATTCTGCAGCAAAATAGTTAAACTATCCTTGTGGTAGGTAGTATGGCAGCAGGTGGTGGTGCAGTGGTATGGTCGGTGTGTGTGTGTGTGTGGGACATGATAATTAACTATCAGTATTTATCAATTTCTGTGGGTCCTGCTTCCTAGCTACTAGGACTTCGTGCATTTTATATTTCTTCATGTTCCAGTTCTCTGTCCAATTTGCTCTCTAAACTGTGAATGGCAGCAATTTCTACTAATAGAAATTAGTAGAAATTACCTGCTTAAAAATTCCCTAGTAACAAAACTTTGAACTTCCACTCCCACCCCCACTGATTATATGTATCCCTGCCATTAAGGAACTGCCCTTACTCACTCATTGTTTCATTAACATGTATGCAATTTGACAAAGCTAAATTTATTGTTTAATATGCAAAATGAATAAATTGCTACAATAAATTTGTTTCATTATTAACTTATAATAAAGAATTTGTATTTGATTAACTGCCAAATAATTCATCATATTAAATTCTTTTTTTTAGGATTTCTATAGCATTTATGTATAACAATATTTTTCAACTAAGCACAATATTAAAATGACAATCGACTGTAACTAACCTGAAACCCCGTCCACCTGGAAATCGTGTCCTTCTCGACGCAAGAGGATTCCCAGTAGCTGGGTCTGACCGTGCAAAGTTGAAACCGACCTCAACACATTAAGAACTTCTGAAGTTGGTTGCAAATCCATATCCTGAAGAATTAACAATCAGTTAACTTTACTTAATTCCCTAAAGGGATACATAGGAATGTCATTCCTATACTTGTTCACAACAGAACTTCTAACATGAGCAAAAACAATGTATGTAGATTATCTAATTTATTTGTACAAGTTTCCATTATCAATATAGCAATACTACACCTTAAGAGGAATGACACTGCAGGACTACTATTAAATTAGCATTGGTCACAAGTTTCAAAATACCTGTACAGTAATGCACTGGGTCGAAATATTGTGCTACGTACCTTCAACTTGAACCCAATCTGCATTCACAAGCAGAAAGCAGAGACAGCCACCTCCTTCAACACTGTTGCATAGCTGGTGCTGCCACTGGTCAAGTGGCAGGCAGCTCAGTAACTAGTAATTACCCAAGTGTAGTTACAGGATGAGAGCTACGCTTCTGGTGTCCCGTCTTCTCAGCAATAGTTAACAGAAGATATTATCCTTCAGATATCTTAACAGAAGATATAACTATATAGATAAAATTATCCTTCTGTTAATAGTAGTTAACAGAAGGATAACTGGCTGACCTGGTGACCCCAATTACTGATTGAATGGGGGTATTGCTACTTGATTTTTCTGTGCCTGTTGGCTTCATCTTACCTTAAAGCTCATTGAATCCTCAGAGTAAGTGATGGCAGTTGGAACATCAGTAAGAGACTGATAACCAATACTAGCATGCTGAAGCTGCTCAAAGGCTTTGATATCCAAGTCTATATCCATCGCACTCATGAAGTCCAGATGCTCTGAAGGGTAAAAAAGAAAAAAAGGTTTTATATTCAAGTAATTGTTTACAATATAAATAATGAGTGCAGTACTATACAGTGATTAATAAAAGAGCGAGCAAAACAAACAGATCCAAGCTAAATACTATACTAAATAAAACGTGAAAGTGTTTAATTTATCAATTAAAACTTGGCTTACCCCTAAAGCTTATTACGTTTTAGATGAACAGTATTTTGTTTTTTACTTTAGCCTTTTTTTTAGGTACAAAATAATACTGAATATAACTACCAATACAGGACGATGAAATAAGGTTCTGCAGTCTGCCAGTACGGACTTTGAGCCCATCACAGTATCCAGTCTTGAGCATTGCCAATAAATCGAGCAGCTCACGGAAGTGTTCATCTCTACAAAAGAGAATTCACTCATACTTAAAGAGGACAAATGTCTAAAAATTAAATTGCATACAATTTATAAAGTGAAATAAAGCTCCACTAGTAAGGAAGAATTAGTCCAAAAACAGGTCTAGAGTCAGGATTTACTGCATCTGACTCTTATAACAAAGAATTCCTCATTCATTTGTATATTTGTTTTGAAGAAATTGAAATTCATTTGTAAGAAGCTCCAACTTTACCCACCTCATATGCTCTTCTCTTATGAGAATGCAAACAGTTGGGCGACCTGATAATCTCCAGTATTTTCCAACAAAGTGCAGCTCTGTTTTAATGTCATCAATGAGAAGAGCCATATCATGCGAGAGGTAGAAGTCACTCACTTCAAACACCAAGGGGTAGCAAAGTACTGTCTGGCCACATACACGATATATCTGTGAATATTGAAAATATTGTAGTAACAAACTTTTAAGCAATTTAATGCATTTTTTATCGATACTTTTCTCCTTCCCCAGGTCGCTCCTCGAGGCATTTTTTTATGGTAAATTGCTTAGTGGTAAATGACAATCACACGGAAGAGACAAAAGTAAACGAGGAGGATAAACCAAGATACACATGCATAATCATTATCTAACTTCCTAATTTTATTGACAGCAGGTATCAACTTTGAGAAAGAAGATAACTGAAAAAGATAAAAAGGTTAGAGACATTAAAATGATTAAAATACCACCTTGAGGTTACCTTGAGGTGCTTCCGGGGCATAGCGTCCCCGCGGCCCGGTCGTCGACCAGGCCTCCTGGTTGCCAGACTGATCAACCAGGCTGTTGGACACGGCTGCTCGCAGCCTGACGTATGAGTCACAGCCTGGTTGATCAGGTATCCTTTGGAGGTGCTTATCCAGTTCTCTCTTGAACACTGAGGGGTCGGCCAGTTATGCCCCTTATGTGTAGTGGAAGTGTGTTGAACAGTCTCGGGCCTCTGATGTTGACCACACTTACTCATTCATTACATCATTCACACTATAGTGGATAGCACCTCGAGAAGATACAGTACACGTTATTTTTAGTAAACTAAACTTGTAAAGCGCACACAGATAAGGAAGTTGCAGTAAATAAGATAGTACTTTAATTAATTTTGGCTTTCCTATATAATACTGCATACAAACTATGCTCGTCTCTCCAAAGAGAAATAGGCAGGTAAACAGCACACACGTGTTCACCTATTGCACGCTTTGAGATATATAGGGACACAAGCAATTGACATACCACAATCTTGAGCTCTAGCCTGTACACTACACTGTCCTAGAGCTTTATAGAATGACCATGACCAACTGGGCTACAGCTGCACGTGTAGTAACAAGATTATTCTGTGTTTACCTTGCTTGTCCCTAATGCACCAATGGGTCGAGTCGGGCGACCTCTCAGGCCTAATTTTTCACTGACGCCAAGGTTCTGGTACACCTTGACCAACTCTCTAGGAGGCCAAATCTGCACTGGTTCTACTTCGTGTGGAGTCTGAAAAAAAAAAAAAAAAAAATCACTTAAAAATTTTATTGTGTTAATTTAATGCAAAAAAAATATTGTACAGTATTTGGGGAGATTATAAAAATCAGGCTTTGACTGTACAGTATATGAAAAGCACCTGTATAAGCAGGTCAATCAGTTGTTCCTTATGGTAGGATCATACTGGTCCCATGGATAAGACCATGCTTGCTCTCGGAAGATCAACATTTTGCTCTTATGCACCAGCAGGGATCTTTCAAAATTGGAACTGCTAATTCTTACTGGTGCTAGGGACACGAGAGAATACTCAACCCAATCTTAAACGATCTGTACATGGCTCAAACACACACTCAAAACTGCCACGGGATCATCATCATCTGGTCATCTTTATTGCAAATGGGTGGCAGCAATTGCACCACAACAGTGTCCTCGAACATGAGCATCTTCTCATTCTAAACCAACTCAAAAATTAACTCGGAAAAGGGATATAATGGAGTGCCCAGGAGTAGCAGAATGTTCTGTTCATAAAAAGGAGCTTTACACATACAATGACCTAAAAAAAATCTGGCCCTTATTATTGCAGAAACCTTAATATTTCAGAAAGACTTTTCCTGTAGGAACACTTTTTCAAAGATCAAAATAGAGCCTGGAACTTTCCACTCCCTGAGAAGTGGGCAGTCCAGTGGAAATTAATGTAATAAAAGTTCCATACTAAATGCAGATGGAGTTACAAATAATGAGGTAGCGCTACAAGAACAGGTGGTAGAACTTCACCCTAACATTAGTGCAGTTACAAAAGACAAAACTTATGATAGTGGTAAAGGATTAGATATTTGCAACAGGATACCAAGTAGTAAGGAAAGGATAAACCTGGGGGTTTATTAGTAGGTAGAGCAGCAGCCCTACCAATACAACAACCTTTAGAATTTGAGCAAATGGAGATCCCAGAGGTAACCAACCAACCAACAGGACTACATATTAGGTATGGTACCAGCGAGGACCATGAAGATAACAGTAGGGGGTTATTTACTACCCTCCACTAAATGCCAAGAAAGTCAAGAGAGGAATAGGGCAAATGCAACGAAACATGCACAAAGCCAATAGGCAGCCACAATGGTAACAGGAGTGAGAGCAACAATTCTAGTAACATGGTACTAGAATCTTTTAGTACTCTGGAACAATGTTCTGTGACCCAACAAAACCTCATTGTTTATCCCTAAAAGCTGAGTACTTGGTGAATCTCCTATTTTTTCACCAAAAGAGGGAGGCTTCACAAACCACATTCAATTGCCCATCAAGTCTGCGGAGCATACAGTGTCCCCACCAACACTCTGCCATTTTAAAAGGAAGTGCAGCATATAAAAGGTACAGTAGATTAATTTCCCCTTCATTACTATTCTGAACAAAAATTCAACACACCTGAGTTTGAATACCATATGTTGCCATCATTGCTTGTAACCGCATACTCTCTGCAATTAGGACAACCTGCACTACCAAATCACTTGCCGTTCCCTGCAAGACAATCATGCAAAACACTTTAGGTTTATCCTTCAAACATTTTTAATATATATTTTTCATGACCTGAAACCCAATTGTATGTCAGCATTCCAATATAAAGGAACAAATCCATTAACAATGTTTGATATTTATAATAGATTTAGTCATGCCTCAATTCTTCATAAAGACTAACAATGTCCTTACTCTGGTGATGTACTTATACAGTATATATATAAAAAAAGTCTATCAGGTGGTGTAACCATTATTTATATATACACGAGTACCAAACAACCATATTAAACTAAACAATGTGTGATGCGGGTAATACCACATGCTCCGGGTACGGGTAACACCACATGCTCCGGGTACACCTGCCTGACAATCCAACATAATGTGCTGCTCACTCTGGATTTAAACATACTACAGTGCAATATTAAGTGTGCTTATTCAATTTACAAAACACAATTTTTTTTTTTTGTATTTACACACACTATTTACACAAAACAGGATACTCTATACATCACCAGAGTAACTAGAAAGGACTGTGTCTAACTTTATTTATACAATTTTGTAATTACTTAACTAAGCCAAGTTATGTGAATCTGAATTACTGCACACCAATTTTACAAGATAAAAAAAAAATCAATTATACATGCTACCTCATAAGTAATTACAGTTTTACAATGCACTTGGCTTCACTGGGCCCTAAATATCCTATAATGAAAGGTGACGGTATTATTTAGAACACCTGATCTTCCAGACTGTGCATTATTTTTTCAATATTAAATGGAATTTTAACTTTAATAATGGTATGCAATTAGGTCATGGACACGAGACATGTGATTTACCAAGTTTATACAAAGTTTAACGTTAACCTTAAAAAAATTAATAAAAGGGTTCTGTATCTATGCTTTCAGTTACAGTGTAAACAGACCATATACAATCCTCTTCAAACAAGTTACTCCTTATTACATTTACTACCAGTTACAAAAAGAATAACAAAACTGCTAACATCGACGAGTACATTAGCACAAGACACTACAAGATAGGCAAGAATGTCTGCACAATAGCTCAATTATACCCAAATTAAATATAAACATTTCTCACTTGCCAATAAAATTAATATGCCAAGTATACACTATGCAGTTGTTTCCCAAATGGTATACAGTAAATGGATATACTAAGTGGGTCAAGTGGTCATGCATGACACAGTAAACTTTTAATGCAGTAGTAGAGAGATTAGTAATGCAGTAAGAGAACTAGCAGTGCAGTAAGAGTGAACTAGCAATGCAGTAAAAGTGAACTAGTAATAAAATAGTAAACTAGTAATACAGTAGAAAAACTAGCAATACAGAAGAGAGAACTAACTACAATAAAAGATAATTAGCAATACAGTAGAGGAAATAGAAAACGGATTGGTATTAAAATGACCTCGAAAGTTAATTTATTTAGAGATAAATGAATTCATAAATGCCGGTACAGTACTGTATAATAGTGCTGTTTATCAACCAAATCAATTGGTTAAGATTTTTGAGAGAACTATTTATGTGTAACCCAACTCCTTAGAACGCATTTTGTATGGACTATTTTGCCGTGTAACTGGGAAAGCAACCTATGATAACAGAACACAGAAAAAGTTATAAATAATTTCAAATTTATAAACAAGCCCTCAAGTATTGTAAATATTAGGGTTTCATATTTTTCTAAAACTGACATGGGTAGTTATTGTCTCCAGTCTGTCAGTTCAGGGTTAATTATTGGCTTGGTAATATCATATAGACTAGTTACAGTACTTCCATTTACCAGTGATCTAAAATTTTGTCATTGGTTATGTTAGGGGATAGGGCCAAGGATGACCCCTATTGCAATGGATTATAGTTTCATAATTTAATATTATTAAATGTAATATTTGCTTGGTGCTTTGGTCCTTGTCTGCACCATCCAAACATCTGCACTAATCAACACAAATTTCATGCAACATAGCATAAAACTAGATCTATAATGGGAAAACTAGATCTAAAATAGGAAATGACACCAAACTTATTAACTTAAACAAAAATATCTCAAAGCTCATTTTGGATTTGCAATACATGCTTTAGAACCAAGATGAATCAAGAATTTTTTTTTTTTACAGTACTTCACTAGACTCCCAGTTCTATACCGGGATTTAATTAACTGATAATTTACTGGATAATATTTGAGACGAATTTTAGTTTTAAACGGTCGACTCTCAGTTTTACACAAGTTTGCCTATTTATGTAAATTGGCAATACCAGAAATTAAAACCTGCAGAAGTAAAATGAAAATAATAGAATTTATTGTTACATTCTCTGATACCTAGCAACTTTTGTAAAAATACATAGACCATCTGGCAAGTTTCCTAATGCAACCTAGTACCAATGTACAGAATGTCACTTGTTAAACTGTCCCGATCCTTGTTCAGACGACACGGATCTTATCCGTATTTTTACATCAGAAAACCCTGCACTGCATTGTAGTTTACCTGCAGTCAGTCAGATTTGAGAATTATTCTTCTCCTGAAGTCCTACCTGGAGGCCAGGCTTGTTTGCCAATACTTTGTTTGGTCAGGCTGTTGCTTTCAGCAACCCACAGGCCCACAAAATGCATCCACCACTTTAAATGAATCAATCTTGTTCCAGCAATATTTCTTATACTGTACTTGATTGAAAGAGGTTGAAAAGCCATGGACCTCTAACATTGCATTATGCCATATTAATGAACCATAAAGTTGAGGTCTATGTTACAATATTTACTTTATGTAATAAAGATTCTTGGACATGGAACACATCTTATCTTTTCTTGGAACATCCTTAAACAAAAATACCAAGATGAATGGTTTAACGCAGTGACTTTAATGCCTTCTCACATGTACTATGATGATTGGCTTGATGCAGGGTCTTGAGAAATGTATCCCCACATACAACTGGGAGTCAAATTTATAAAAATCATAAAAAAATGGTACAAGAAATATAAAAATGAAATTAGATACCAAACTCAAATGTGCAAGTATTTAATTTTTTTTTTTTAAGTACTGTACTATAATATGCAAAACTCACCATTTTTAGAATTTAGCAAAATCATAGAATTTTGTGAAATCCACAATGGGTAAAATAGAAAATATTATAATTTGAGAGCATAACAGATGAATAAATCATTAAAATAAATAGTTTTAAATAATGCAACAATTTACAACACTCCCTACATTACCACCTTTAGCTTTCTATGCGACTACATCAAACAAATTACTTACATTTATCTGTCTGTCTTAGCCTATTGGTGTCGTGTCGTAGTCATTAAATCTTTAACCTGTTACACAAATAACATCTACAACACACAACAAAATAGACCAAAACCAAAGAAACAAAACCACTTAAACCAAACCCTTATCCTGTCTTGTCATTTTCACTTGGTTTTCTCAAGAAAGAAATGTCCTTAAATTTAGTTTTCAAACTGCAAAATATAAAACACAACAGGAAACTCGTATTGTGTGTTGTTGTTGTTGTTGTTGTACTAGACGTATTGTGTGTGTATTGTTGCAGTACTAGACGTGTTGTGTGGTGGTGTTGCAGTACTAGACGTGTTGTGTGGTGGTGTTGCAGTACTAGACGTGTTGTGTGGTGGTGTTGCAGTACTAGACGTGTTGTGTGGTGGTGTTGCAGTACTAGACGTGTTGTGTGGTGGTGTTGCAGTACTAGACGTGTTGTGTGGTGGTGTTGCAGTACTAGACGTGTTGTGTGGTGGTGTTGCAGTACTAGACGTGTTGTGTGGTGGTGTTGCAGTACTAGACGTGTTGTGTGGTGGTGTTGCAGTACTAGACGTGTTGTGTGGTGGTGTTGCAGTACTAGACGTGTTGTGTGGTGGTGTTGCAGTACTAGACGTGTTGTGTGGTGGTGTTGCAGTACTAGACGTGTTGTGTGGTGGTGTTGCAGTACTAGACGTGTTGTGTGGTAGTGTTGCAGTACTAGAAGTGTCAAGTGATAGGCAAGACATTATCTAAGTGCAGATTCAGATCCCACAAGGCTTCCTTTATGCAGCTTCATGATGCACAGAACTCTTCCTCATACACTGCTCTCTCTCTATATTATTATTATTATCTATATAATATTATTATATTATATTATTATTATATTATACTGTATTATATAAAGTATTTTATGCTATTATCATTATATAATTCTATTCTATTATATTGTCATTATTATATTATTATATATTTTTTATTACAATTGTGTTTATTATTATATTTATTATTATTATTATTATTATTATTATTATTATTATTATTATTATTATTATTATTATTATTATTATTATTATTATTATTATTATTACAAACAATTAAAAAATGCTATTTCACAATGAGATGCATTAAAGAATAAATCTACACTTGGCAACAATGGTAAATTAATACCTTCACACACTGCCAAGATATTCACAAACATCACGGCCACTTCTCAGACTACACGTTACGATGTTAACCTCACTTCACAAATAAAATATCAATTATCTCTGCCCAACAAAAGGGTTTCTCAAACACTCGCCATAGCTGTCCATCTTCCAAGCCTCTTCTCCTCCTCTTATCCCTCGTCAAATATGACATGACTATCATGCACTCAAATCTTATAAATCACAATTTTTCTCCCTTGAACATTTGAGAAAAGTACTACAGTTCCTTACACATGTAACCTCTTAACACAATATACTCCTCAGATTATTCCTTTCTACTAAGCAAGCTTTCTACTACTACACAAATCATAAGTGTTTTTTCAGCCATCTAGTAGAGATGAAACAACTGCTCTTCCTTATCAAGTTTTCACTGTACCAGTCAATGTCCTTTCATAACTATTCTCAACTTTCCACCCAAAAATGCTACTTTTGCCAATCTCACATTTCAGGAACTGAAACATTTACAGATTTCAATACTTTTCAATTTACAGAATTATGATTTCACATTCAAAATCTTCCCTCTTTGCTCTCAATAATATGTTTTATTAATTTTCAGCTATATTTCTTCCAATTATTTTACAATATCTACAAAGTTTCATTTACTCAAAATGTGCATTTTAATCATAGCAAAAAGCCATAATTTGCATACACGAAGTCAATCATGCTCCATTTACTTCAGTCATGACTCAAATTCATCTTATTTATAGATGGTTATCTGAATAGGGAAATGAGTAGTAGAGTTAATATCAGACGGAATTACATCAGGGATGTTTCTATAATATAAATGTTATAAGTTTGGTGAGAGAATTAGGTCTCTGCCCGATAGCACAGACGAAATACAAGGCGTGTGAGTAAGAGGTTTCAGCACCCCTCATCATTACCCATATCTTCCATTTTCATGGGCTGGGTATGCACTTTCTAAAAGACAGGAGAGGAACAAGGTATAGGAAAAAGAGGGTTAAAAAATAACAGCATTCAGCTCACAGTTATCCATCATATGATATAAACTTATCATATGATAGATAACTACACTGTACGAAGAGAACCTAAATTAAGAGATAATTCACCCTTATTGTCAGTACAGTACTGTATGTCCCAGCATCCTGCACCTTAAACCTTATCTTTGAAAGGAAGGGCTATGACTCCAAATTCATGTAAATGAAACACAGCCATTGACTTTCCATGCTCAAAACTTTGCCTTTACCACAAGATTTTCTATGAAACATCTTGTGAAACAGTTCCAATTAATAATGTAGGAGATGTAATTTCATTTCCTAAACAATATTTCTGGCATTTCCACTGACCTAAAGTGACCTCCACTGAACAATAAAGAAAGCCCAATATAAATTTTTGTTTTGTTTTAAATATGATCACCAGGAATTTATCTTACTTAATGACACAGATTGCACAGTTGCTCTCTCCTGAATCCAAACTTTTTTATAAATTTCAAAACTTGGAATGCAGATTATGTGGCTGAATTTGATCCAATGGCTTACCTGGAGCATTGGATTTTGGAAGGAGAGCATTGGATGGAGATCCAATGCTCTCCATTGGATGGAGAGCATTGGATCAAATGAATTTGATCCAATGGCTTACCTGGAGCATACCTGGAGATGGTTCTGGGAGTTCTTCTACTCCCCGAGCCCAGCCCGAGGCCAGGCTCGACTTGTGATAAATTAGCTAAAGGGATTCATTATAGGGAGATCTGGATTTCAGAAGTGTAACTGTATATCTAACAATGCTGGGAAAGCACTGGTGTATACAAGAAAAGTGAAGACCAGAAACAATACAAAGTATGCTCAAATATTCATCTCAGAGCTCAGTTTAAGTATGCAGTACAGTATATGGAATTCTACCCTTTAAATACACAACAGGGTAATACTGCTGAAACAGTGTGTACAGAATAATAATAAAAAAAAGCAGGAAATGGCTGCCAAAATAAGCTACAGTGTAAGATAAAGGACACAAATACAGTACATAGAAGTATAGTAATATAGAAAGACGAGCAAAACCAAATACCGTATTTTGTAAACTAGTAGTCTTGGAGGATTCCAAATACACTGTACTTGAGAGCTTTAAAAATGTAAGACAGTTATAGCTTCAGCCATGGGTTTGAAAAAGACAGCCAAAGTAGTGATAGAAGGAATTAATAAACCAAACAATTACAAATGATTTTCACGTTTTGTGTTTGTTCACTAATGACCCCTATATTTTTCCCACTGATTAATCCAATGGAAAACGCTGCAAAGAGTATTACACAATTAAGGACTACTTTAAATCTTTAGCTATTTCTCTTTTAATATTATGCAACTGAATAAATCCTTTCTTATCTAGCATTTAAATACTAATTAGTATTCACGATTATTCAGAGAGTATTCTGATCATCAAATTGACAAAACGCAGCTTTCTTGCCGAATATTACGAAAGCAAGTAATTGTAATACTGAAATGCTATATAGAATAAATCAGCATTCACTACAGTATCATATTTTACACTAGAAAACAATCTAAATAGAAATACAATATTATCATGCTCATTATCAATATTTTATAAGTACAGTACAGTATAGAAGAGCATTATAGACAGTATATCCATGCACTAAGAGTACATGTCATTGATTAGTCTATAAAGAATGGTCACATCCTCTACAATCTCTAAGAATATAAGCATTTTATCCAGAGCATAACCTTGATACTATGATAAACCAGTGCAACACAGTCAACGATGCATCACAAGCATACCTCTAACACCATCTACAGAAGCAACAGTGGTCTATACTTACTTTGCTGTTCTTGCTCTACAAAAGGATGAAAAAAGGCATGATGTAGATAATCCACATAGCATAGGATCAATACAGACATGTAAGTAATTATGAAAATAGAAAATGTTAAAATTAAGAAGATGTCAAGAATGATACCCACATATCAAAGGTCTACACCACTCTCCACCAGCAACAATACTTAGTGAAAATAGGAATTCATACCACTCGATAAATTTCAGGAATTCCAAAAACACTCACAGAAGCTCAATGCACACACACACACACACTACAAGTGAATACAAAGAAAGTGATGCAAGCAAACATCTACCTGTTAACTCCTCTGAAGCATCTGTTAATTTAGTGAATACCTAACCATGAGGAAGGAATGAGGATAGAGACAGCTGTACCACTTTGGTTAACAGCTTGATGGACTAGACATAAACCACCACATATACATGAATTTCGTGCATTATGATGTGAAATGTCCATTATTATAATGTGAAACTTGTAGAAAGCTGCAAAAATAAAGTTATTATAAATCTGGTGTGAAAGTGGAACGAGCAAACTTACAACTCAAAAAAATAATATATTCAAAGCGGTGAATGTAATGATATGCCTCTTTTTGGTGAACCCCAATAGCTTTCCCCAATGCTACACGTGCGTGGAACCTTGCAAGCCTTAGGAAACGCATTAAGCTTCTACAGGCTCATGCGCACCTAACTGAGAACAGGACCAGAATCTGGCACCCATCACAGTGACAAGGGAACCCTGGGAATCTGAGATCACAAGAGAACCAAGATAAATAATAGACAGAGGGAACAGTGCTCCAAAACAAGCAACTGCTTTAACATTTGTAACCCTGGCTCTAACCATGTAAACATTCATTACTGTGGCTGAATCACAGTCTTGTTGCACTCACCCGCCACAAGATGGTAGGAGTCTCAACCCGTTAGCCCAGTCATTCGAGAGCCACCCAAAACAACATGGGAGGAGGGGTAAAGGATTGGAATAGAAAGCTACTAAGGGCCTGCCAGAAAGAGGAGTTTCATTAAGTAAATTCAACACTAAATTTCTGGGAGGACCCCTAAGTAATTATCAACAGAAGGCACCAAGCAGGGAAAACTGTGTAGCCGGAAGAACCTTTAAGTAGCTCCCTAATGATATCTCACCAAAACTAAGGAGCCATCAAACATAAAAAGAACAATTAAGATGTGGAGGGAGGGAAGGAGGGGGAACAATGCAAAGAGCAGAGAAGCACTTAATGACAGTTTGTGCAATTAAGCCATTGTTTTGCTTAATTACAGCATTTTCTTATTATATTACAGTAGAGTATGTTGAAGCATCCTAAAACATTAGGATGCTTCAAACATCCTAACATCCTGTTCATCCAGTTAGGATGGTAAAACATCCTAACAGAGGTCGATAATTTCACCTCAAACTCTAGGCCCAGCAGAGGAGCCCACACCCATGTACACCTGGAGGCAAAACACGGAAGACTCGAAGAGACAAAAATCCGAACCTCACAGGGAGGGGGGGGGGGGGACCTGGAGGAGACAGGGAAGCTGGCTCCCAAAGAAGAGAACCTTTGCCTCATCAGCTGGAGTGAGCTAATTATTGGGACACACACACACAAAGGGTGGCATAGAACAAACTTGTGAAGCAGAATTGGAACAAAAAGATCCCACATGGAATAACAGTCCCTGGGATAGCCAACACCAATTATTTAAAGGCACAAAGCCTTGGAGAGGAATTTTTGGAAGAAACACCCCACATGCAAAATTAGTGGACTAGTTGACAGGTACCCCTGGGTCACTGGAGCTGCCATCTGCTGCTGAGCAAATGTAATGAGACCGATTCAAACATGGTAATGAGGGACTTCATGGCAAGAGTCATGGCTGCGGCGTTCTGGTGGTTATGTTTCTCAGTTCTGTGGTGATCTCGGATCCTCAAGCTTTTTCCTTAACCTCTTTGAGCTGGGGCGAGAGACTGATTTAAGTCTCTTGTTAGGGGCGAGTAAGTCAGAAGAGGTTTGGGATGTTTCACAAGGAATGCAAGGTTCCGGCTTACAGAACTGGGGAGTTGCCGAGGAGGCCCACCCAAAATAAAAATTATATAGATATGTACATACTGTATGCTTATATATACACTATATTATAAATAAATGTATGCAACTGTGAACATTGACCTCAAGGGTTCAAACCTAGCCGGCTAGAGGTGGCAGCTCAGAACTGGGCCACCCAGCCTGGGTTCAAATTCTTTGGGATCATTAAGTTCACTGTTTAACAGATGTAGCTTGGAAACCATTCAAGCATTACACATATGCACACATACCACACACATTCATATAATTGCAGACAACAATAAGAAAGATGGCAACCGACTTAAGAGAAGACAACACATAAGAGATTGATTTTGCTGGTTTTAACAACATATCAGAAAGTTTCCATAGCAGAATGATGAAAATATAGAACATAGTAAAATTTCATGAACAATCAATTATGACTGAGGAGGATAAATGAAAACTACAGTAGAAAGAAATAATAACGACAGTATGGCTTTCAAACAGGAATATCCTGTGAAACAAATCTACTTAGCTTTTATGAGAGCTACAGATATCTTACAGTAGAAAGATGGTTCAGTTGACTGCCTTTATCAGAACCTAACAAGGGCTTCTGACAGAGCCCCATACAAGAGGAGGTTCTAGAAGCTGGAACATGCTGGAGGGATGACAGGTAGACTTCTGATATGGATGAAAATTTGTCTAACTGAAAGAAAAATGTGGGCGATAATCAGAGGTAATGCATCAGACTGGAGAAATGTCACTAGCATAGTACTGTACTGCATGATTCAGTTCTAGCACCAGCAATGTTCAGTGTGTGTATAAACTATTTACCAGAAGGGATACAGGGGTACATGAACATGTTTGCTGATGATTCTTAGCTACTAAAGGAAATGACAAGGCAAATAATGAGGGGGACCTTTGGCAAGCCGCCAGCAGTCTGTCCTCATCGAGGTCACTAGTGTTAGTGGCTCTCGAGTAAAATAAGAGGACTGTCGTGCCCTTCAAGACGACCTGGATAAAAAAGGAATGGAGCAACACATGGCAGATGGAATTCTATGTGAATAAATGCCACACATGAAAAGATTTAAAAAAAAATAAAATTAACAGAGCTCTAGGGGTTATCTGGAGGTTATCTGGAGATGATTTCGGGGTTTTAGTGTCCCCGCGGCCCGGTCCTCGACCAGGCCTCCACCCCCAGAAAGCAGCCCGTGACAGCTGACTAACACCCAGGTACCTATTTTACTGCTAGGTAACAGGAGCATAGGGTGAAAGAAACTCTGCCCATTGTTTCTCGCCGGCGCCTGGGATCGAACCCAGGACCACAGGATCACAAGTCCAGCGTGCTGTCCGCTCGGCTCCCTTCCGACCGGGTGATTCATGATGGTAAACTGCTACCAGATGCCCAAATAAAGAACACTGAGTGAGGAGCCTATGCTACACTTTCCAACTTCAGGATCACTTTTAAATATATACATATACTGTATATGGATGGTTAAATACTAAAATTATTCATGATTATTGTGAAACCAAAATTGGAATATGAAGCACCCATATCTTAACAAGAACATCATTAAACTGGAAAGAGTGCTACAAGGAGAGGCTCAAGGTGTTAAATATGGTATGCCAAAGCTAGATGGTACAGAGAAAAAGAGGCCATATGATCACTACGTACAAAATAGTAACAGTAATCAACAAAATACAGAGGAATTTTTTAAACCAGTAACTAAGTAAAAGAGGTCATAGAGTCAAGCAAAGGAAACAAGTGCTGAAAATTTGTAAGAAAGTTTTTGCAGTGGTGGACAGGTGGAACAACTTGAGAGAAGGTAGTGGATGCCTAAACCATCAGTAGCTTCAAGGCATCATGACAGCACCGGGAAGATGGAACACCACGAGCGTAGCGCTTATCCTGGAACTACACTTGGGTAATTAAATTACACATATGCAAATACAAACATACATACATATGCATATATACGCATACTTATACATATATATATTAAATTTTGGAAGCAGATGTTAATGAAAATGACTGAAATGATTAAAACAATAATTCTAGCATGATTCTATTTCTTAGATGCCTCTTCACTTGTGAAGATGAAAAACTAACTTTCCTAATTTATTTTACACTTTTAATGGGTCTGGTGGTTTCTGCTAAGGTACAACTTGGCATCCTCAGAGGCAGAGGGAAAGTTAATGCAAAAAGATACATAATCGCCAAGCAAAACATTCTGGTTTCTCTAGCTGTTCCCGATACCCACACATAGGATAGCTAAGCTAGTTGATGCACTGTTAACTCCAAGTGTATCGCATGCTCTCTGCCCCAAGTCTAAAGGAATATATCTGCTCATTTTGAAGTTTACAGGAATCTTTTACAAGTTCTCTGGATATCTAGTGGCCATTTACAAATAAGTCTGTGGATGAGGCATGATTATGCATAAAGCCAATAACTCTAGAAAGGGACCTTTAGAGTAGATGCTTAAAGCCATCAAACCATAAACCTGCTGGCTACTACTACTATTATATTGACCTCTTGCAAGTACCTAACAGAACAGAAAAAAGTTCTGAGAGAAATCATTGACAAAGATAATCAACTAATATTGCAGCCCGTTCTCTCAAGTATTCCCAACATCACTAAACTGGTGTACTAAATTACCTGAACCTAACCTAACCAAGGCCCTACAAATAAAAAATTGGACGTCACATCAATTTTCAGAGGCACTATGATTTTTAGTACATCAGTTTTTGGGCTTAGGGGTTATAAACGTCTAAATGAGATGTACTATTAGAGGATGGGTTGAATACTGAACAGAAGATACAGCTCACCATTTACTGTATTATAAAAGCACGAAGCCCAAAATTCTCAAAAACTCCCAACACCAATTGAAATGCCAAATGAAAGGCAAATGAAATGTCTTGCGCCAAATGTTGTGATTGCCTTTATATGCCCGTTTGGAGGACTCGCAGCCCAATCCTCTCAATATATAAGCAGAACAACTATCTTTTTCAAGATACCTCTAACAGCACAAACAACCAGGCTCATTTCTTCAAACAAACACACCCTCACCAAAATAATCAATACAGTGACAATAGAAGATTAAACATAGCAGAAACACTTCCCATCAAATATTCTCTTCCAATTATCAACAGCCAACTTTACGCCTTGGCTGTACCGAGTGTTCTACCCGTTTATACAACACTAAATGAGAAGGTCGTTCAAGATGACCTGGGGCCAGATTCACGAAAGCACTTACGCAAGCACTTACAAACGTGTATATATTTCCTCAATCTTTGACGGCTTTGGTTACATTTATCAAATTGTTTACGAGCATGAAAACTTGCCAATCAACTGTTGTTATCGTTATAAACAGCCTCCTGGTGCTTCGGAGCTCATTAACTGTTTAATAATTGGAAAAAGAGCCACCAAAGATTGAGAAAAGATGTACAGGTTCGTAAGTGTTTGCGTAACTTCTTCGTGAATCTAGCCCTTGGTCCTCAACAGTGTAACCACTTCACCACACTCATCATGCATGCAGTTGGAAAAATATATTGACATCTTTTACTTTTAGCATTCGCTTTCTCTCTGCCTCTGGGGAAGAGGGGCACCCCAAATTGTATTTTAGCAAAATGTGTTGAGCCCATTAAAATGGTAAAATGAAAGAGTTCATTTTTCAATGTCCTTCCCAAGTGAAAATGCATGAATGAAACAATTTGTGCTCGATTCTTTGATCACTTTCAATCACATTCTATGGCAATAAATTTGGTATAATAAATGTTTAATGCAGAGCAACTACTCGCATATATACATGGTTTAACATACATATACTGTATACATACATACCAGCATACCATAAAATGGGGTAAACAAAAATGTGTGTTGTGGTGGCATATATGGCATATATATATTAGATACTGGACAAAACAGTGGATATAGAGGAATATTAGATATAATACTGTATATTTGACATAACAGGACAAAATGTACTTGATGTGAAAGCAATTTTAACTTACAGTATATGAACAAATAATAAATGAAGTTCAGATAGTGATCTCATCTTTAATTAAAAAAAATTATGAAATTAACACAATTTAGAAACATATTAAACATTCTCAAACAAAATTTAGTATCCTCCATTAGAGCCCAGATGGACACTACCAAATGTAAATACCATTATTATCTAGGATAAAAAAAAAAATGATTGAATTGCAATATTATCGGTTAATATTTCAGATCTGACGAGACATGCCACAAAACTGGGCATATATTAATAGCAGGCTACTCAACATCATAATTGAAGATGATCTCAAGTGCTATCATCATATTATTTGTCCATCAAATGCTAGTGAATAGTCATCCCCCATTACCAAAGGTTTGGGATGACTAGGAGCACTTATAGCAACCTTAATGTGCTGGACATTGCATGGGTAGGATGAGGGTGCCATAATAGAAACACTAATGAAGACAAAGATCAAACGACAGGAATCAAGTCTAAACGCACCCTCTCCTTACCTGCACAAAATACCTTGAACGCTGGGTAAGATACAAGAAATTTTCAGCTTAAAGTAGGTCAATATTAAAAGGAAAACATCAAAAACATGCTCAAATTTGATGGAAAAAAGCTAAAGCCATTAAGAAAAGATGCTACTTTTGGAGAAAAATAATATATAAAATATTGATCAGTCAAAAAAACACTAAACACAAAAAAAGAGTAAATTAACTGGTTATTAATACCTGCAAGATCAGAAAAAATTCACAGTGCAAACCTTTCAGTATATGAAAGGTATGCAAACCTAGCTTAAACAAAAATTAGCACCGTCACACAATACCGGCCAGTGTACGAGTAGCCTAAATGTTAGTAAAGTACGGAGCCACAACAATCTACCTGCAGAGTCTATAATGCTAAACAAAATAGGGATTCGACTACAAATCACGAGTGGGTTACCTAAAACTCACTATTTTGGTATTATTGTCATAATGTGAGCAACAGCCGTCGCCACATTACATTTGTAGCACTGTTATAACGCTTGCAATTATTGCTTACTGAAGTAACAAATGGCATGTCAGTTGCAAAGACAGATTGCAAAGTATTTTGAGAAAAAAGAAAGCCACAATAAAAGTGAGAAAATTATGACACTAATCAAGTACAGTTCCACCATATTAACTTGGTTGTGCACACAGGAGAAAACTAATGGGGTTTTTATTGCTTTACATTTAAATCGAATATATCATACATGTAAAACCAAACAAGATAATGATGTAAATAATGGAGATGAAAGTGATGGTAATGGTGATAATGGTTGTGGTGATAATTTAAGAATGGTGATTATGGTGTAATGTTAATAAGGATGGGTAACAGTGAAGTTGATGACAATGAAGGTACCTGTAGTGACAATGGTGGTGGAAATGATAATTATGGTAAACTGATGATTATGAGATATGAAATTGTATCGAACCGAATCGAAAAACTGTTTTTCATGTGTTTTTCCATGTGAAGGAAATCTTTGAAACTTTTTTACCGATTGTTTTAAAATTTTGACAACGTTGCATTCGAATAGGCGCATCTTCTTATATATCTACTATATACATGCCTCACCTGCGATAGGAAAAAACATGCTTTTTTTGAAAAACAGCGCCATCTGTTGGACGTAAGGGCAACACATTCTGTAATCTCAAAAAGTTCTTCACTGATTGCTTTGAAATTTTGA